TTAAGAATGCTTACTTTGGAAGAAGCATTAGATGTAAAAAATTCTGTTAGAGCGTTAATAAAAGATTATTCGGAGTATCAACTTATTCCTATATATGATCTGGATCAAGTACTTGACCCAACTTTAAAGAATGCTACCAAAGCTACAAGTAACATATTTTTTATAAATGTTTTTATCTATATAATATTTTTAGGTACATCTTCAGATCTGGGTGAAGTGCAGGCCCCTACTTCGAAAAGTAATACCAGAGCTACCTAATTTATTCTTTATGAATCTTCTTAGCAATATAATATGTTTAGCTTCATCACATTAATGAATATGTCTTCATGGGAGGATGATACAATGCTTAATAATGAGACTGATGCTGATGAGGTTAATTTATATTTGGATATTAAGCTTAAGAAGGAGGAAATCAATTATGATGATCATATCCTAGATTGGTGGAAGAAGCATCCAAAAATTTTGCCAAAATTAGCAAGATTAGCCAAAAAAATTCATGCAATTCCAGCATCAAATGCTTCGAGTGAACGAAATTTCAGCACTATTGGAAGAGTTATCGAAGAGAGAAGGACAAATTTAAACAATGAAATTGTTGATAATATATTATTTTTAAATGATAATTTGAAAATATAAATTAAAATTTTATTTATATCATTTATTAATATTATATATATACTAAATAAAATATTATATTTCCATTAGTATTACTTCAGCATGAGTATATAAAATAACTTAATAGGCTTGGGCTGGGCGTAGGAAATTTTTTTGAAACTTATCATGGGCTTGGGCCAGGCTTGGGAATTTTTTTTAACATTAGATATGGGCAGGGCCAGGCTTGGTCAAAAAATAGAGGCCCATGAAGGTCTCTGATATTAGGTTAAACTCCATAGAATCAGTGGGAATATCATCAGTAGGTAAAATAGATGTAATCTAAAATGTAGGAAAGTATAAGAATAACATTTTTTATTTTGCATTGTAAGGAGATTTTGTTGTGTTTCACGATCTCTGGAACGTTTATTTTGTTGATTTACCTTTCATCTTTTTCTTTTATTAATGAAAGATAAATCAACATCTGTAAAATCATTAAGATAGTTTAAGACAGGGCCTGTTATTAAAATAAAAACAAAAGAAATTTTAAAAATAATAATGCGCTGAATCCCCAGATGAGTCACTAATAGATGTAATTTACTTCTAGTTCAAATCTGCATACTTTAATTAAAATTTCAAGTGTGACCCATTAGTTATAATTTTAATTGAATATTATTTTACTACAAATCCGCACAACATTGTAATTAAAATTTCATGTGACCTATTAGAATTAAATTTACTTGAATATTGTTGACTGAATTTAGAATAGAATGATTTGAAGAAAAACTATTCATACTTTAGAACTAGTAGAAAACCCGTCAAAAATGACGGGGAATGAGATTTTTATTCATTTTTTTACGATAGATGTCATGCCAGATCCCTCACAATATTAGGAAGCATATAATTATAAAAGTTTATTCAGCCCAGCTCAACCCTTAATAATTCGTTAAAGATATTTCCATGTCAGGTGCAAGCTAATATAAATTTTGAGGTTCCAAGTCCAGTCGTATCCAATATAATTATGAAAATTTTTTCCCACCTAGAAGATAGTTAAATTTTTAATTGATTTATCATCACATGAAGGAGAATTATATGATTTACCAATAAGTTTAAGATGTAAAAAAAACATGTGAATTCCGTATTAAGGGAAACTGGGAAGGCCTGGGCAAACCACTTATTAGAGAATCATGACAAATAAAATAAAAATAACCGACTCTTATACTTTTTGGTAATATGATCAATTATAATTATATATAAAAAATAAATTTTTGTTTATTATATAGGGTTATTGTAGCTTTTCGGATAAATTTAATGTATGTCTTGCATTTCTCAAATTATTTGTCTATATTTTATTTTAAATAAAAAAAAATGTTATCTATTTAAATAAAAGTGCCATTAAGCACTAATGAAACTTATATGCAAATTATATATATAAAATATAAGATAAAAAAGATAAATGAGTTAATTTCAAGCGTAGTTTTTTATTATTTTGGCTACCAGTAACTCTAGATCTGGCAAGGCGTTTGTTTATTCGTCATTATTTTCTTAGCTTATCTTTAATAAAGTATTTAATTTATAAATTTAAATTTGAATAGTTAATTTTAGTTTTATTTGAATATTGTTTATTTTTAAAATATATTAACGTTGATTGTTTAATATGTTAAAAACTTTATATATATAGATACTAAAAAGAAATAATAGGATAATAATAAATAATTTTGATTTTATTTAGAATAAATTTAAATAGTTTATTAAATCTAAACACTTTCTTTTATGGTGCCCCGGTTACTGTGGTACGTTTTTCGTTTTAAATTAAAGTTAAATGATAAAAGTTTTAAAAAAAAATTAAAAAATATCCTTTCCTTGAATTCTTTAGTAAAAATAAATAGTAAACGAATTACTTATCAAATTCGTCGTTCGATATTGGAGATGATATAAGGACAAATAAAATTTTTTTGACTTTTCTTTTCGATAGTCAAAATTTTATCCAAATTTACAAAATTATAAAAGGTAAAAAAATTTTATTTAGAATAAATATTTGTTAACTTCTTGTTTCTTTTATGGCGCCCTGTTATGTTTTTGTAAAAAAAAAAAAAGAATAAAATATAGAAAATTTGCCTAAAATTAAAATAAAAAAGTATAAATTAAATTAAATTTGAAATTGATGACTACCTTATTTATTGATTTGACTACCTATTGTGACGATTGCTTAATCCATTGAGATGACTCTATTTATATGTCTACCTATTATGACGATTGCTTAATCCATTGAGATGACTCTATTTATATGACTACCTATTGTGATGACTATCTAACCTATGGAGACTGCGTAACCTATGGAGACTGCTTAACCTATGGAGATGACTACCTATTATGACTACCTTATCTATTGTGACTACCTATTCTACTATGACTATCTAACCTATGGAGACTGCTTAACCTATGGAGATGACTACCTATTATGTATTGTGACTGCCTAATCTATTGATATGACCAATGCCTAATCTATGGAGATGTTAGCACGTTCTTTCATGCAAAAAGCTTCTTTCTTCATGGTGTCCCGGCTCTGGATGTTAGACTGGAATATGATAACCAGCACCTAACCTAATGTGACAACCTAGGAAGAACTGATATGGAAGTTGAACGATAGGTTATGAATTCTATTTTGTGAGACCAATGATATTAAAGTGTAATTAAAACATATGAATTAAAAGGGATTGATTTAAATAACCCTTATAAGTAATACTTAATATGATAAAAATGTTTTTGAAATAAAGCTTTTGAAGACAAAAGGTTATGTAAAAATTAAACATCATTATTTTAGAAAAATATTGTGTGAAATTTAAATTTTTTTTTAAGAGAGGGAAATGTGCATAATATTTGCATATTTTAACCTCGGAGATTGAAAATAAATAAAAATAAATTAAGTATTAAAACGCTACTAATTAAATATGGAAACGCTAAAAAATGTAAAACGCTAAAAATATAAAACGCATAAAACGCTAAAAGTATAAAACGCTATGATTAACTTAACACCTAAAAAATAATATAATAATTTATCATTCCTTATTCTGGATTAAAATTTTATTCCTTATTCCATAAATTATCATTCCTTATTACATATTTTTCCGAAATTCAAAATTTTATTCGTGCATATTATTCATATATTTGATTTGATCAACTATTCCAAATTATATATTCCGATTTATTCCAAATTCCAATATTCAACTGGATTAATGATAATAACAATTTTGAGAAATGTGAACAACATACGATAAGGATATCAAACCAACGATAACGTTCAACGATTTTATCAAACCTACGCGATTGATTCAAGCCTACAAAAAAACGTACAAACTCACGCAACTCTAATAAACGATTTTATCAAACCTACGTGATAGAATCAAGCCTACGAAAACATTTGAGACTTATGCGTTAACCAAGATAAAACCGAGTACAATCAAAACGGGAAAAAACTTCTAGGACAACAAGCTCTTGATGACTGCTGAGAAGAAGCTTCGTTCTTTGTAGAAGAGGGGGAATGTTGATTGATTATATATTTAAATAAATTTAAATTTGAATAGTTAATTTTAGTTTTATTTGAATATTGTTTATTTTTAAAATATATTAACGTTGATTGTTTAATATGTTAAAAACTTTATATATATAGATACTAAAAAGAAATAATAGGATAATAATAAATAATTTTAATTTTAAAAAGAATTAATTTAAATAGTTTCTTAAATTAAATACTTTCTTTTAAATAGATTCATCAAGTTTTGTAGCAATGTGAGGGATTAAAGTTGGGTTAACCTAGACAAATAAAGAAATCAGGCAAAAATATAAATAAACATTATTATTGAAATAAAATGAAGATTTTTTGGAATAGATATAAAATCATTATAATATTATTTATAATAAAAATAATGTACTATGTATATTTTTTGTGCGTTATACAAAATAATCAGCAGGGATAATAGAGCAATGGTAGATCCGACAAAATGGTAAGCTTTTAAAAAAGTAGGATCCTTAAAAATTGTTATATTAATTTAGTTAAATTTTAAAAATGTACTTTGACAATCTTCAATTAGACAAAATATTCATCAGAGATAAAAGGGTATATTGTGCAGACCGACAAAAGGATGCTTAAATAATATAAAATTGTTTAAATTATAAAATAATATCATACTAAGTAATGTTCATTCTTATTCGTATAAACCGGGATTAATCGGATATAACCTCATGATATACCACATTGGTTGTAGTTCTTGTATTATCATTGGTTATAATCTTTAATTTATGAGGAGAACAAACTCGAGACATAACCATATATAGCTGTCCATGTGAAAAAACAGGATGAGTTAAATAGATGCCAACTTTGTTCAACGTTTGTCCCTGAGCTTTATTAATTGTCATGACAAAAGCAGTCTCACGGGAAATTGGCGGTGCTTAAAGGAAAATGGCAAGCCAGAATCTGTAGGAATTAAACTTATTCTAGGAATGAGAACTTTAGTATTGAGAAAACTACCAGAAACAAATTCAGCCTCAATTATATTTGGTAGCAAAGAAGTTATAATCAATTTAGTCCCATTATTCAAGCCAGAAGCAGAATTTAAGTTACGCATTAATATTATAGGTACCCCGAATTTGAGTATCCTGATATACTTAAAGAGTTTAAAAATTCAGTGGGATAAAACGTCGCTTCATCCTCAGTTATCGTTTCATCAGCACTTATGTATGTAATTAAATCCCCTGGAATTTTGTTAATCAATTTAATATTTATAGAATCGACATCTATGTTTTTAGGGGTCAGGATTGCATTTTGAGCAAATGATGTTCGGTTAAAGGACGTATTGACTTTGTCTATATCGTAAACAAAAGCAATAAGATCCTCGATATCATTGGAAGCTGTACAACAATCTTCAGGAATTTTTATTTTATCCCTGGAGCCATCAAATGTTTCATAGCCTTTACCAACTCTTAAAAGAAATTTTGAGTATTTATTATTAATAAGATAATCATTTGCTTCCTGAAATTGTAGAAGTCTCATATTAATACCTAACCTTAATGGCACTATATGCGACCATAAATAGGATCGTTTTAAGGTTGAGTTAACAATGTCGCATCTTCCACCATGTTTAATAACAGGTAAAATCTGTCTAAAATCTCCGTCAAAAATAATAATTTTACCACCAAACGGTTTATCTAATTTCATTATATCCTGAAAGACCTATCCACGGCCTCGAATATATGTTTATGAGTCATTGATATTTCGTCCCATATAATAATTACCGATTGTCTTATCAATTCAGCTATTTGGCTTTGGTAAGGAATATTACATGAGGAACTTTCATGAATACTTAAGGGGATGTTGAAACGTGAATGTGCAGTACGGCCATTATGAAGAAGAGTTGAAGCAATGCCAGAAGATGCAACAGCTATTGCAATTTTACCTTGACAAGTTAAATAATATTGTATTTAATAGAAATGATTTTCCAGTACCACCAGGACCATCTATAAAAAATAAATTATGGGATGAAGTGGAGGGCAAGGACATAATTTTGGCATAGATAATATTTTGATCCCGATTAAATAAATTGTAGTTAGCCAAATATATTTTATACATATCATCAGTATCGTAGGAAATTTTCTCCCGAATAAGGTGACACCTAATATTAGCTGTAGCAGATGGAGATTGAGTGGATAATAAAGGGATAGGCATTCCCAAAAAATCCTTAAGAGATTTATCATTTTGAATCAAAATTTGATTGATTTTCGTTGATAAGGTTATCCGGCTCTGATGATTCTTGGCAAAATCTTCACAAAGATAAAATTTAAAAGAATTCCATAGACCTAGAGGATCTATCGGCTCACAATGTAATAAAATAACAGAAAATAACTGGCGCAATTGATATGGCATCTTAAATGAAAGACCTTCCTCTAAACAATGGTTCCATCCCGCATCATCTGATAACAGACCACGTCGAATACATGCATCTTTAAAAGTATTACTGACAATTCCATTAAAAGAGCGTAGATCTTCAAAGCATGTTGGCCCAGCTACATAATTAAGTAATAGTCTTAAATAAAAAACCTCGCCCTCTTTAGGAGAAACTGTGCGTATACGGCCAATAATCTTATCACCACCCCTTCGTTTTAACCACTGTTTAGATAGAGGTTTCCACACATAATATCTTACAAAATCTGCATAAATATAATGTCTGGCATCTGTGTCAAGTTGATTAATTTTAAACCATTCGGTTAATTTTGTACCAGGATTTTTAGTTAAGATATTATTTATATCAGTATTTGATTGAAAAAGGATTATATGTTGATTGGGTAGATGAAGGTCTAAACGATAGACTGCAGGAGAATGATCCTGCATTTCAAAATCCAAAGTACGCCATAGCGATTCTATGGCGGATATATATCGAGCATTAATGAACTGGGTAGTTTCATCAACATTATTAATGGAAACGGAAGCAGTAGTCCTGTCATGGCCTTTGTAACAATACTTATAAAGGTATTTTATGGACTGGACAGATGAACAAATTTCTACATTTATATGTGCATTATATTTTTTTGATAAATGTTTATTATAAGGAATAACGGTTGTTAAATATAAATCCGTTTAATTTTTTTTGGAAGGTAACGCCATCATTTCTTCGCCGATATAAAAGATAACCATACTTATCAATAGAAGAGGTATCCACAAATGATTTAGGATATTTTTTTGAGCATTTTCTATCAATCATGCAGGGACTATTAGGAAATGTTATACCACATGTCCAATGTGTATTAAAATTGCTAATAATTTGAAACAGCTTAGGCTCAGTTATTTTGTTAGGAACCTCAGCACAAACTACCTCATCATAAGTATCAGCCGTTGGTAGCCTGCGAGATATATCTAGTATAAGGCACATATGACAATGAGGCAAACCTCTATTCTGGAATTATATGACATCTATATAAGCGATTACTCTGCCAAGAACATGATAATAGAGCAAATCCTTTTTAAGACAATTTAATTTTTGACGAAAAAAGCGACACTTTAAATCTGGGCGGTCGTTTGGGGTCTGATGAGGAAATAATTCACGCATTATTTCATCCCATTTAGGGTTGCAGGTGAAAGTAATGAATAATGATGGCTTATCAAAGCAGCGTACAATAGCCATTGCATCCTGATAAAGCTGATGCATGCCTTGGGCCATCGGTAAAAGAAGAAGGCAAAATTATTCTTCTGTCAAGATTGTCAGCATTAGTATCTCCCTCTAAAATAGCATCATGTATGCCTTGAAAGAGTTCGGCGCGTAATTTGGATTGATTATTACATATAAAATTTAATCGAAGCGTTTATGTTTGGCATAACTGTCGACGATAAATTTGTGAAAAAGACGTTTGGATCTTAAAATAACATTCTCTTCATCCTGCCTGGCCATAAAGCGATAGGCATAGTACTCTCTGCAGGTAACATATTTATTAGTTGAGTTTCTATAATGAATAGATGGGTGGTATCCAATATCGCCTCTAGGAAATAGAAGAACATATTGCAAGAGATCGTATGAGGAATGGAGCTCGTTAATACGTCTTAAAGAACCAAATATATTTAAGATAATAATTCTATGAGCTATATGATTACTGCCATCATCAGGTAATAAAACTGCTATTTCAGATGAGGTAGGTTCATTGCGATAACGTATGTCAAAACTTGGAGTAGATTTTAAATTTAAGGATATGTTAGGAACGCCATTAGCGATCATAGAAGATACTCTCAAAAATTGAGAAGCAAAGGGGTTGTAGATGTTAACAATATCCTGCAATTCCATTAAAAGACAACGACGGAACCTGGTTATGTCTGTTTTCTATCTCATTTATACTATCATGTATATATAATTGGGCAAATTTAGGTGTTTCCCCTAATGTTGGTAGGAGTGAACTAATGCGCTGATGAACCTGTCCATTAATTTTAAAGGTATAATTACCTGATCGCGAATTGGATAAATTATTATTTATATTAACTCCTAGTGAAGTGAATGACAGTGCGGAATTATATGCTCTTATGTTTGTTAAAAAGTGGGATGATGAACAATGATCCCCGGTAAATAAACGTAATAAATTTCGTGATAATTGGGAAATTTTAAATAAAATTACCTTCCCATTCAAGCAACATGTAGAAAACTGAATATTTCTACATGAGCTTTTTGATAATTTTTCTCCATTCCACATTTTAGCATTGAAGAAGGCGCATATTTCTGTCATGTTTCCGATATCTAATATAGGTGAGTGGTGGTCATCAAATATATGTAGAATGTATGGTAGAGGTGCCATAGGGAATGTGGTAGTGGTTATAGAAATATCAGTTAAAGGTATCTGGGTGAATATAAAATAAACTTATATATATAAAACATTAAAAACCTGCAGGGGAGTTAATATCAGGCGTAGGTCCTTATTACCCTGCATACCCGTAATTCTAAAACGGGTAAGGCGTTTGTTGAGTCGCCATTTTTTTCTTTGCTTATCTTTAATAGAAATATTATGTTTTGTAGCAATGTGAGGATCAAGGTTGGGTTAGCCTAAAAAAATAAGGAAATCAGGCAAAAATATAAAACATTATTATTGAAATAAAACGAACATTAAAATACTGTACTGAACCTGTAAAGGGGTCAATATATGTATATCTCTAGTAGTTGGGAGGCTATCATCAAAAAATAAAATTTGTCTAGTTGGGGACTTATCAAGACTATCATGTTTTTCTGAACATTTATTTTGTATTTGTTGATTATTAATGGTAGATATATCAATATTGAAACAATTATAAGGAGGAAATAAAGTAGGGTTTGTTATCTAAAATAAAAACAAATAAAAAAATTTAAAAAAATGAATGCGTTAAATTTGCAGAGGAGTCAAGATTAAGATCTACTCCCTAGAAATAGTGGGAATATCATCATAAGCTAAAATGGATGTACTCTAAAAAATAAAAAAATATAAGAACATTTATGCTTTTTTAGTATATATATATATATATATAAACACTAACTTTATTATGTGTTGTTAGTATATTTTGCTGGGATTCACAATCCCTATAGCTATTCTTTTGTTGAATGACTTGTCATCTTTTTCTTTCATTAATGACGGATAAATCACCATCTGTACAATCATTAAATGAGGTTAAGACAGGGTTTGTTATCTAAAATAAAAACAAAAGAATAATTTAAAAAATATAAATGCATTGAATCTGAATAGGAGTCAATATACCACCTGTACATTCATTAAATGAGGGTAAGACAGGGCTTGTTATCTAAAATAAAAACAAAGAATAATATAAAAAATATAAATGCAATGAACCTGAAGAGGAGTCAATATTAGGTTCAACTCCCTAGAAATAGTGGGAACATTATCAGAAGCTAAAATAGATGTATTCTATAATATAAAAGAGTATAAAAAAAAATATATATAAGACTAACTGTATTTTGCGTTCTTAGTAGATTTTGTAGGGCCTCGCTATCCCTAGTGCGTTTCTTTTTTTGATTGACCTGCCATCTTTTCTTTTATTAATGATGGATAAATCACCACCTGTCCAATCAATAACTGAGGTTAGGACATGGCTTGTTATCTAAAATAAAAACAAAAGAATAAATAAAAAAAATAAATGCATTGAACCCAGCGTCTACATGGCCGGGGGGGGGGGGGGGGGTAGGAGACAAATGCCTCCAAAATATATTAGCATTTTTGGGGGTAGGTATCGATTTTAAGGGGTTGATATTAATTTTTTGGGGGTAGGCATTATTTTTTTGGGGGTAGGTATTGATTTTTGGTGGGTAATTTTTGATTTGAATTATAATCTTTTTTTAATCCATTAATTGATACGATTATGATGGTTATCGTTTGATTTTCTGAAAAATGTCAATTAAAGTAAAGATATTTGTCAATTAATAAATAATATAAATTTTCTTTGTCAACGATTTTCATTTAGCATTTTATCAAGTTAATATTTACACATTTCCTATTTGGTACTTTTCTTAGAGGTTAATATATTTATATTATGTTTTTTAATAAATTTATAGATTTTAGCAGGATAAATTTTAGGTAATTTTTTAGTCATGCATAAAAACATATATCAGCAAGCAAAGAATAATAAAAAACATAATATGTAAAAAATTATATTATAATAATTATTTCTTTCTAGATGCCAAGTAACAAAACCATATTTAAAGTTAAGTGCAATATTAAAAATTGCAAAACTTCTAAAATAAGAAGTGACAAGATACATGAACATTATAAACATAAACATCCTCATGTCAAGCCAGCTGATATGAAATTTACAAAGGTAGCCATCAAAAGAGATAATAATAATTGGGTATCTTTAAATTGTGATATTCCATATAATATTACAAATGGAGTTGAAACCCAGTTGCAAAAAAAGACAATAACATCTTACTTCCAAAAAGTAATATTTTTATTTATTATTGTAACTATAAATTTGTGAATTAATAGAAACTGATTTAAAATTTTACCAATAATATTAATATTAAAGTAGTCAGGGTATAGAGAAAATAAATTATATATATTATTATTTAATGTTTTTTAACTGTTTATCACACTATTTTTATATCTATATATACTTTATAAAGTTCAATTTAACAATATGTTTAATAAGTTAATAATAATAATTTAAAACCAAAGTATTAAAAAAACTTATTAAGTTAATATAATGTAGTAAAATAAGGTAATGTTAATTTCTAGGAATTTTTAAATTTAAATCTTTTCATCTTTAATTGAATCAAGACTTCAAATTCTTTTACTTTTTTTAAATATAAATCTTATAAAATATGATTTGGAATCAACTATTTTCAAAATGTTATCTGTGTGAGTTTCATCCCCTTTATTTACATTATGTGTTATATTAGGTATGTTTATTATCATTGTTTTATTTAGCTATTAGAATTTCTTTAGATAATATACTTGCATCATGAATTTCACAATTTTATTTATACTTAATATTGTTTTTATTTTTATAGTCATTATAATATTGTTTTATGATTTCTTCATGTGATCGCAGTTTTATATTAATCTGCATCTATCATGCCTATGAATCTTTCAAGTATATTTTAAAAATGTTTTTACATGATCTAACAAAGTCATATTGATGTTTATGATTATTGCGTTCAAAATATGTGAATTCCCTTTGTATTCTACATTCACTTGTGCTTTACCTATTACTTGTATCATCTTTCCATTGTAACCTGATAATTTTATGTTGGACTTCATAATATTTTTAATACCTGTTTTCTCAATCATGTATTCATGTAGAATTAAAACATTTATTAAAAACTTAATTATAATGTAGTTAAAAAAAATTATCATTTGCCTAAAAATTTATTAAAAATATAGTTATCATAAGGAAAGAAATTAAACTCCTCTTTATTTATAGAAAATCTCAGTTATTGAAGATTCACAAATTGTATTATCTCCTCATCCAATCCCCAGTTCCAGTGAGGTGTTTACTTTGTATGATGAGGTATTTAATTTAAATACGAATTATATGATAACTTTTGAAGAAAATAAATTAGGACATTTAAATATTTCCAACATTTATTGATTAACTTAATTATAATGTAGCTAAGAATAAAATGACCATTTGGCTGAAATTATATTAAAAATAGATTTTCATAAGTAAACAAATTATACTCTTTATTTATAGCAAATCTCCAATATTGAAGATTCACAAATTGTATTATCTCCTCATCCAATCCCCGGTTCTAGTGAGGCACTTACTTTGCATGAGGCATTATATTTAAATAAAATTTATATAATGACTTTTGAAGGGAATAAATTATGAGGATATTCAAAGTCCAAGTCTTATTCAGCTATACAAAAAAAGGAACCAAATGACCCTTTTCACTTTATATTATTTAGGATGACA